AACTCTGGTCCGGAGAGACTCCTCAAAGTTCAATGAACATATATTCATATTTTATCTTTTACTTTTGTTAAGGTGACTTTCTTCCACTTCTTTCATTATTTACATCCCAAATGTTCCAGGTACAAATCAAATATTTTGCCTCCAAGAAGCCTTTCTCACACACTTTAATGATATTAGCTGCTTTGCTTGTAAAAAATAGGTTCTTTCATATTCAGAAAATTCAGTATCATATTAAAAGGGCTTACATCTCATGAGACTTTAGATATGCCTAAAGAAGAATTTGACTTTGGGCTGATTATGCACTATTATAGGGGTACTGTGGATCTTCAATCCCTGGCTAACTCTGAAAATGGAGTATGTCCTAGAAAGTGGAAATATGATTAGGAAGAGGCATCTGAAAACCTAAACTAGGTGCATAGTGAGCAGTGATCATTCAGCAGACGGCTCTTGAGTGAATAAATAAGAACTACATTAATTGTGGTCTATTCTTACAATTCAGCTATTATATTTTAGTCCATGGAAGAATAAAAAGCAATAAGAAAAGATGGGTTCAAGTTTCTGCTTTTCCTTGCTAAGTTTTTTGGGCCAAGGCAAATTAAATAAACTCTGAGACTTATTTATATTAGTTGTCAAAGATAAATAGTCATTATAAATAAGAAAAGATAATGAAAATAAATTTGTAAAGCTATAAATTACTACAGCAATAAAATTATTATTACTGCAATGCATCCTTTATCTTAAGCATTACGTGGAAAAATTAATTGAGAAAACCAAAATCTTTTAAGAAAACCAAATATTTTGTTTAAATATTGTCTAAATGAAGGAATTTATTTGCATACTCATTTTGTAAATGGCATTAAAAAAATAAGAATGTGACCTCTTACATCTTTTTTTAAACCATAAGGTAGGCTAGAAGGCCAAGTAGCAGAAGACTGCCTTGGCCTCTTTTAAGAAAGCAGTCAGGGGTGCCTGGTTGGCTCAGTCGGTTGAGTGTCGTACTTTGGCTCAGGTCATGATCTCTCAGTTTGTGACTTGGAGCCCCACATCGGGCTGACAGCTCAGAGCCTGAAGCCTGCCTCAGATTCTGTGTCTCCCTCTCCTCTGCCCCTCCCATGCTCATGCTCTTTCTTTCTCTGTCTCTCAATAATAAATAAACATTAAAAACAAAACAAAACAAAACAAAAAATAAAGCAGTCAGACCTAAAAGGAAAAGGAGAGAGAATTTAGGAAATTCTCTGACAGCATTGCTTAAGATGACTGTCATGAAGCTGGTTCTGGTATTATTTGACACAGGAAAGGAAGTCAATTCTACTTTAAAGTTGTTTAAAATTATGCAACAGCAACATAAGACAAAACAATACAAACAGCAAGTATTTACTGTATGCTAGGAAATGTATCACATGCTTTACCTTTATTTTTACTCATTTCTTCCCCACCAAACTCTATGAGATAAACATTGCTGTTCCCATCTTACAGATAGTTAACTTGTTCTTAGAGTTAAGGTCACACAACTTATGTGTGATGGTGGAACTGGGATTTTAAATCTGAAATTATCTGATGCTACAGAATACATGTTACAAATATTATAGCAATATTGAGAGAGAAATATCTAGTTCAAAGGCTGAAAGAGTTTTATAGCTGCAGCCATAAACTACTCCTTAGCTTTGGCTTGCAAAGCTAAAAGAAATGCTTTAGTTTTAATAAGGTGATAAGTTTTTTAAGAGAGAGAGAAAAAGCTGGAGGAAAAAAAGAGCTTTCAAAATACCAAAGCTGAACGTGGTTGGCTCAGGGCCATGGAGGCCTATGACCCAAGGATTTTGATGGTTAAAAGAGTTCTATGGATAATAGGCTACCCCAAGTTTTTTAGTTAAGGAACTATTAAGAGTAGGTTTCTTATAAGCTGAGCTAGTTAGCCCATGTGCCCAGATACTAGTGACATTAATATCTTACTTCAATTGATTTTTCTTCTATGGCTATGTTTAGGTGGCAATTATAAAGACTATTTATTAAGCCCTTGTTTTGTGCCTGATATTGTTTTAAATGCTATACGTTTTATCCTAACAATAACTCTTCAAGGTAGATACAGTACTTCTCTTCTCATTCCCGTTTTAAGGATGGGGAAATTGTCATGATACAATTCCAGGCAGATTGATGGTGGAGCCTACATTTCACCATTATATTATACAGATGTTGTAGTAAACTAGTACCTACAATAACTCAGTAAGTGCTATTTTATTCATAATAATTCTGTTATTTAATCAAAACTCTATTTTTCTAAAGTTGTTTGTCTTAATTGTCAGTGAACAGATTTAGTGATTAGTAGTGTTCGCTATAATGTTATTTACTGAGGATAGCCATATTACAGCTTGTTCTTTAGAGAATGTGTTGTTGAATCACTATATTGTACATCTGAAACTAATATAACACTGTGTGGTAACTATCCTGGAATTAAAATTTTAAAAGAAAATAAGACTATTAAAAAAAGAAGTTAAATCTATATAATGATCTCGTATTTTCTAGAATCTATGATTTGATGTCACATAAGTGAAAGGTAAAGCTAGAGGATTTTAGGATAGCTGCTGATTTATTGAGCTGTTCATGTTTTAATAGTCAGAAGACATATTATGAATAGAGACTTTGACAAGGCAATTTTTTTGGCTTTGTATTACTGCTCCAAAGTGATATATAATAAGTTCATACTATGCAGTACTTAAAATCAAGATTGTATTTATTATTATGTGTGACACAGGTTGATTACTTCTGAAATGTTGTATCTATTTTGAAATTTGATGTAACTAACAGATTATGTTAAGAATGCAAAAATTGGGGCGCCTGGGTGGCGCAGTCGGTTAAGCGTCCGACTTCAGCCAGGTCACGATCTCGCGGTCCGTGAGTTCGAGCCCCGCGTCGGGCTCTGGGCTGATGGCTCAGAGCCTGGAGCCTGTTTCCGATTCTGTGTCTCCCTCTCTCTTTGCCCCTCCCCCGTTCATGCTCTGTCTCTCTCTGTCCCAAAAATAAATAAACGTTGAAAAAAAAAATTTAAAAAAAAAGAATGCAAAAATTTTATATTAGATCAATAATATAATTTTACTTAGTTAATAAACCTAAAATATTTCTTTTTTTAAATTTTTTTAACGTTTATTTTTGACACAGAGAGAGACAGAGCATGAATGGGGGAGGGGCAGAGAGAGAGGGAGACACAGAATCAGAGGCAGGCTCCACGCTCTGAGCCATCAGCCCAGAGCCGGACGTGGGGCTGGAACTCACGGACCGCGAGATCGTGACCTGAGCTGAAGTCGGATGCTTAACCGACTGAGCCACCCAGGCGCCCCAATTTCTTTCTTAACCATATTGACTAGAACCTTTTGTGACCAGATTCTATAATGAAGTAAAGAAAATTCAGGCTTTCTAAGAACTTTGAATCCTGGAAAATAGTTTTAAATTAGATATATTGAAATCATTATTTCAAAACCAAATTAAAATTTACCAAAATGAACTTGCATATGTTAATGGATTTATTTATTTGTTTATTTTTAAATTTTTTTTTCAACGTTTATTTATTTTTGGGACAGAGAGAGACAGAGCATGAACGGGGGAGGGGCAGAGAGAGAGGGAGACACAGAATCGGAAACAGGCTCCAGGCTCTGAGCCATCAGCCCAGAGCCCGACGCGGGGCTCGAACCCACGGACCGCGAGATCGTGACCTGGCTGAAGTCGGACGCTTAACCGACTGCGCCACCCAGGCGCCCCAACATATGTTAATGGATTTAAATGACTGGACTCTGATAATGCCATGTACCTGGATAAAAAGTGAAAGAGAATCATTTTTAAGCTTTTGTTTGTCTGTAGAGCACCACCTGGATCGTTGAGTTTTTCACATTCAATCAAGTATTGATTTTGCATCTATAAAAGTATTGTACTAGTGAGCAATAAAACTTTTTCAAGAAAAACTTAATGCTTATAATGAAGTATGAGTTAATGTGTGGACTTCTGAGGTTTACTATACTTTGGGGAAATTAAAAAAATATGATATCTAAATAAAACATATTTTATACTAATATACTAAAACATTTTAGAAGATATTTCAAAATCTCTATGGTATATGAAGAGTTTGAAAAAATTATACTTTATTATTACAAGATATAGATATTTTTAAATGCTTATTTTTTTTCAGTTAATAACTATACCGCAGTTCTTGTTGAAATCATGATATTGAAGGTAATAGATGGGTGTGTCAAGTTAACAAATGTAAAAATTCATCATTAATAAATGTGAACTGTTATCTATTCAACAGAAATAGGGTCGAGGGGCGCCTGGGTGGCTCAGTCGGTTGAGCATCCTACTTCAGCTCAGATCCTGATTTCACAGCTCATGGGTTCGAGCCCCGCATCGGGCTCTGTGCTGACAGCTCAGAGCCTGGAGCCTGCTTCAGATTCTGTTCTGCTCATGCTCTCTCTCTCTCTCTCTCTCTCTCTCTCAAAAATCAATAAACATTAAAAAAAAGAAAAGAAAAAGAAAGAAATAGTATCCAAAGCATGGTTTTGACAGTTTTGATAATAATATTATTATCTAAAAGTCTGTTATTTTAAAAAGTTTCCTTTAAAAGTTAAGGTGACCTGTAACATCTATTGTATCAGTGACAAAAGGCCAAAATACACTACTTTGATATATAAATCCAACTTTTTGCAATTAGCCTAAAAGTTCTTTTAGAACTAAATGATCAAACAATTCAATATATTCACGGGAAGTGAGGAAAGTAGAACATGGAGTCACAGAATTATAATTAAAATAAAAATTGATGCCGTTAATTTCAGAAATGATTTAATTTGGTTCATATCAAAAGAAGACATTTAAAGAAAGAAAAACTTCCAATACACACTTTCAGGCAGTTCTGGCTGCTGGCAGCCTACCCCTTATCTAAAAAAGAATGCTTGTTGGCATTATGTTCCATCAATTCGTTTGTGATTTCTAAATTAATTCTGAAGGAAACCACAACTTACTTGAAGATCCCGCTGAGTGTCTGTGTGCCTGATTTTTTTTTTCTCTCTTTACAGACAAAGCACTTCCACTGGTCATGGAAAAAAGGTCTAAATCCGTGTCTTCTCTGCTTACAAGTCTTGCCTGGGAGCAATGGGAGAGAATGTATACAATCATGAAACAAAATATGGCATTTTCTGAATGCAGCTCACATTACCCCAAATAAACAAACAGGCTCTGTCAAACAACCTTCTTCAAAATGATACCACAATCCTTTACTGGTGCCCAGGCAGAACAAATGCACTATGTCAAAGCATTTCTTGCAAATAAGAGCCGATTTTAAAATTGAGGTTTGCTATTTGAGTCTGTACAACAAAAGAAAACATTTTAGTACAGTAATTTTGATGAAAATCAATCTTAAAGGCAACTGGTGAAACTTGAAACAGCTTAACATCACTTATTTACCAAGTGTATTATTTAATTCTTAATTGAATGTTAGAAATGTCATATTGGATTATTTTCTGCAATATTTGTATTTCACCAGTTATAAGTATTAGTCTTCTCAACAATATTCCTCAAAATGCCTTTCATTCCATAGTTGTATACTACAAAGTCATAAAAGATCTCTGCCTTCTCATTAAAACTATTACTAATATAAAAATATTATGCAGTAAGGCTAATTTAAGGGTAATGGTTAATATATAGAAATTTCAAGATATATTATTTTAAGGACATAGAATTAAATAATTTATTTCATCTAAAATTACCATTGGAACTTTTATTACTACCTTGGACTGAACCTAACAGTTGAAAGAATCACTTCTTGCCTATAGAATATTATTTTACATAATGTCTAATATTATTAAGTACAGATTTATCAGGATACAGCCCTGAAGTAAGGGAAAATGCCATGATGGAAAGGAAAGCAGCCTCAAAATAACTAGCATTTAACACAAACCACAAGATGCTTGAACTCCTATGAGAAAGCATTGTCCTTAATGTTTGATGTGAGACAAATTTAAATAGAGCAAAATAATATCATAAAACCATCACTGTGCTTAAAAAGCTATCCTCATATAATGGGCTACAAAATCTCATGAAAATAGAATCTAAAGATCATTCTCTATCTTTGCACTTTTCCTTTACATACCCCTCCCAACTTCTTCACACTCTCATGTGCATGAATAGACACCATTGTATGTCAGTCACTTTTTGATGTACCCGGCTAAGTGATACAATTGCATTGTCAAAAGACCACAGTAGAAAACTGTTGAAAAATGAAATAAATAACAACTGGCTTCTAATTTATACCTGTGATTGGTATGAAAAATATTATACATTCTTTCTAAATTTATTTCAATTAGTGTACAAAAGTATGTATCTAATATTTCCATTAGTATAGCTCCATCAGTACTAAGACTTAGAAAGAACCAGTCATAGGGCACCTGGGTGGCTCTGTCAGTTAAGTGGCTGCCTTAGGCTCAGGTCATGATTTCCCGGTTTGTGGGTTCGAGATCCACATCATCAGGCTCTCTGCTGTCTGCATGGAGCCTGCTTTGAATCCTCTGTCCCCCTTTCTCTCTGCCTCTCCCCTACTTGTTCTTTCCCTCTCTTTCTTTCTCTCTCAAAAATAAACAAATAAAACTTTATTTAAAAAAGAACCAGTTAGGAATAAGGGGGAAGTACCAACGCAATACTACAGTTCTGGTGAGATCAGTTAAAAAACAAGGAAAAACATGTTAACCACTTAAGGACCCTCCTGCTAGCTAAGGAGGCTTTAACTACAAGATTCAAGATTTTAAAATCAGGTTTTATTTGCTTCAATTTGATGACATAATTTCACATACCTATTTAGAAAGTAGAAATACCCCCCCCCAACACTAAAAAAAAAAAAAAAAAAAAAAGGCTCAGTTGGTTGAGCATCTGACTTCAGCTCAGGTCATGATCTCACGGCTCGTGAGTTCGAGCCCTGTGTCAGGCTTTGTGCTGACAACTCAGAGCCTGGAGCCTGTTTCGGATTCTGTGTCTCCCTCTCTCTTTCTGCCACTCCCCTGATCTCTCTCTCTCTCAAAAATAAATAACATTAAAAAAATTAAAAGAAAAAAGAAATCCCACCCATCCTCCAAATACGATCATACCCACATGTCAAGAAAATATGTGTGAACACATGCCTTCCATAAATCCCATTACCATCTAACCATTAACACCCAAAAGATTGTTTCTTCCAAAGAAGAAAATAATTAATGTCAGTTACTAACTGTGTCAGATTATAACAAGGAACCAAATTTAGAAGTGAAACTTAACAGGAATACACAATTTCACAATAGTGCCACGTGGCAGCTTAAAATACAAACCCATATGTTTTATAAAGGGGTTAGTGAAAGGTCCAGCAGTGCATCTGAGAGCCACATATGCATTAATATGCAGATTCTCTTTCTGAAAACATTGCCTTTTAAATTGAACATTATTTTTCCTTTAACTGACCTTTCTTTATTATTTCTCTATTTATTTTCTTCTACATCATGCAGAATGGATATACTTAAAAACTGAATATGACTGCCCATGCTTTTCTTATTCTACAAAAAAATGTATACTTAATTCTAAAACACTGTAATATTAGACACTTTGTATGGTTATAACACAATAAACTGTTTTGAGTCAAGGTTAGATAAGAATATTCTTATGTGCAATTCAATGGCAAATATTTTTTAAATAGTAATTTTTCAAAACTCTCATACGTCTTTGTTTTCTGAACTGGGTGCATTTATGTGGCCCCTACCTGCAACATTTGTAACATTTTTTTCTCCATATTTTCACAATAAAATGAGGAGCATGAATATTTGAACATGACTTTTAAAAAAAATTAATGATGTTTATTTTTGAGAGAGAGACAGAGACAGAGCACAAGCAGGAAAGGGGCAGAGAGAGAGGGAGAAACAGGCTCCAGGCTCTGAGCTGTCAGCACAGAGTTGGACATGGGGCTCAAACTCAAGAACAGTGAGATCATGACCTGAGCCAAAGTCCAACACTCAACAGGCTGAGTAACCCAGAAGCTCCTTTTGAACACTACTTCTAAGCATCTGGAGCCTGATTCACCTCCAACCCATGCAAATTAATTACAAACAGAGAATCTCTCACATCTAATAAAGAACAGGGAATTCCTCTTTCTTCTTTTTTTCATAAACAATATTTTATTAAATATTTATTTTTAACATAAGTTAAGACATACTAAACTGCACACATAAAAATAAATATTTTTTCCTTATTATCTAGATGTTAAGTTTATTTATTTATTTTGAGAGAGACAGAGACAGCACAAGTGGGGGAGGGGCAGAGAGAGAGGGAGAGAGAATGCCAAGCAAACTCTGAGTTGTCAATGCAGTCTCACGCGGAGCTTGAACCTGTGAAACCATGAGACCATGACCTGAACCGAAACAAAGAGTCAGAGGCTCAACCTACTGAGCCACCCAGGCACCCCTAGATTTTTTTTTAAAGAGAAATAAGGGCGCTCAGTCAGTTAAGTGTCTGGCTCTTGATTTTGGCTCAGGTCATGATCTCAGGGTTCATGAGATGGAGCCTACACTATCAGTGCAGAGCCTGCTTGGGATTCTTGTTCTCTCTCTCTGCTCCTCCCCCTGCTAGCTCTCTCTGTCTCTGTCTCTCTCTCTCAAAATAAATAAATAAATAAATAAATAAATATTTTTTTAAATAACATAACAAGAAATACAAAATTTATTTTTTTAAGTTTATTTTGAGAGAGAGATAGCAAATGGGGGAGGGGAAGAGAGAGACGGGGACAGAATTCTAAGCATGCTCCACACTGTCAGCACAGATCCCAATGTGGGACTCAAACCCACAAACTGTTAGATTATGACCTGAGCTGATAGCGTCAGCTGCTTAACTGACTAAGCCACCCCAAGAGAAATAAAATATATAAAGCAAAGTTCACTTATAACCTATCTTATAAAAGTATTCAAAAATTTTAGAATATTATTTTCTGCAACTTGCTTATTTTTCACTGTCTATTATATTTGTAAGATCTAGATTTGGTTCATTTATTTTACCCCTCCACTTATAGACATTATCATCATTGCACAAACCCCCTTTCTCATATGAGGCAGAGGCCTCATTATATAACATATGTGAGCATGGAAGACACTTTAAATGTTTTATACAGCTATAATTTACATACAATGAAATGCACAGACTTTATTTTTTTTTAATTTTTTTTTTAATGTTTATTTATTTTTGAGACAGAGAGAGACAGAGCATGAACAGGGGAGGGGCAGAGAGAGAGGGAGACACAGAATCTGAAATAGGCTCCAGGCTCTGAGCTGTCAGCACAGAGCCCGATGCGGGGCTCGAACTCACGGACCATGAGATCATGACCTGAGCCGAAGTCGGACGCTTAACCGACCGAGCCACCCAGGCGCCCCAAAATGCACAGACTTTATTTTTTTTTAAATGATTTTTTTTTAACGTTTATTTATTTTTGAGACAGAGAGAGACAGATCATGAGCAGGGGAGGGGCAGAGAGAGAGGGAGACACAGAATCTGAAACAGGCTCCAGGCTCTGAGCTGTCAGCACAGAGCCCGATGCGGGGCTCGAACTCACAGACCGCGAGATCATGACCTGAGCCGAAGTCGGACGCTTAACCGACTGAGCCACCCAGTCGCCCCTAAAATGCACAGACTTTAAACATGAAGCTCAATCATTTTCAAAATTATTTTGAAGTAATTTAAAATTCCTACAGAAGTTGTAAAAATTGGTACTGAGAGTTCCCTGTATAACTTCCAGCCAGTTTGCCCAATGATATATAAGCAAAGGGGGATTCATAAAACCAGGATATTTACATTGGTACCATACCATTACTAAACCACAGACCTTATTAAGATATTAATATTAATATTATATAGTCACTTTAACAATTTTCCTAGTGATTAACAATGTTTAACATCTTTTCATGTGCTTATTTCTCTCTAAAAAGCCTCTTAGATGAAGTATCTATTCAAGACCTTTGTTCGTTTTCTAATTACACTGTTCAATTTAATTATTTTTTACAGATGACTACCATGATGGTTAATTTCACGTAATGACTTGACTAGGCCATATAGTACCTAGACATTTGGTTAAACATTACTTC